ACCAGGACCTGCTGCCCTGAGGAAGATGACCCATGAAAAACCAGGTGTTAATCCAAGGCTCCAGCCACAGCAAGGCCCCCAGGGGGACAAGCCAAGTGCTGAGGATGAGTCCAACACAGACAAACAACACCCTCACCCTCGGGGTGGGAGCAGGGCTGGGGCAGAGGCAGTGCCCACATCCACCCACAGTCCCAGGCTGAGCTGGCCTGGGCTCCTACCAGAGAGCACTCTCAGGCACTGCATGAAAACAAGCCTACAAACAGCACTCTCTGTAACAACTTCTCCAGCCAAAAAAAAAGCAGTAGAGGTACCTGCAGCAGAGCTTCAGGGGCCATCCGGAGCAGCAGGAGCCAGGGCAGGAAACCAGCACAGCCACAAAGAAACGCAGAAGAGAACACAAGCCCCCAAGCTGAGCTTAAATAGGGCTCCAGGGTGGGGTGGCAGAGGAGGAGGCCCCAGGTGTGCCTGCTCAGAGCCCTGGGGTTGGCCACAGTAACACAGGTGTTCCCAGTTGGCAATCGAGCCCAGGTGGAAGCAATCACCTTGAGTGCCTCAGTCCTGCAGGAAACCAACGTCCCAGCCCTCTGCTCGGCCCACGCCAAAGAGAAAATAACTGTTGATGACAGTCCTAAAAGGGGTTCTAAATGGATCAGTAACTCGTGCAGTTGGTTTTGCTTCAAAAGAGAGATGAGCAATGGGTGCCTTAGCTCAGTGTCACGGCAGCTTGGCACCCATCCAAGGACAGCTATCCCCCCTCTGTGCTTCACACACCACACCAGGGTTTGGGCTCAGGGCTTTTTCCACGGTGTGAGTCATTAGGAAGTGTCTGTAAGGTGCTCACGAACCTACTGAAGTCTTTAAACAACAGTAAAAAGAGCCTGAGGGGATGTTATTAAAAGAGTGGATGCCCCTATTTCTAGATGCAGAAGATTGTGTATGGGAGTTACCACACTACTTACACATGTGAAACCATTATTAACTGAAGAGGGTTAGGAGACCCTTCCTACAAGAGGCCCTATGGTACAGGGTGCTGTATGACAGCCCACTAACACAGCCAGTCCCTCAAAAGATTCCCCTGCTGCACACACTCTTGGACACAGCTGCACAATCTCCTTGCTGTGAATGAATGTAGGACTTTAAACCTTTTTGATTCTGTTCTGTGCTGAGATTTCTTCTGTTTAGTTCCAGCCGATTGTGCTAGGCTGGGTTTCCTGCCTCTGTAAAGGCCAGCTCAAAGCTGACACCCCTCCCTGTCAGCCTCACAGACAGCTATGGGAATGGAGCACTCGGGAGCCTGGTCCATATGGAATCATCTCAAACCCAGCCAAGCCCCCACCCTGCACACCCCACAGGAATGGAGCACATGGTGTCATCGTGGCTGTCAGTCAGGCCAACCTGCTCATTGTGAGCAGCTGGCTGGTGCTGCTGGAGCTCAGTTCCTCACCCCCCAGACAGCTGTCCTGCTGCAGGGGTGGTGTTACACTGTTGGAGCACGGCCTCGGTGACCCCGAGCTCAGCCCAGCCCTGCCCGTGTGGGTGCCCTGCCCTCTGAGCACAGGGCTGGGCTGTGGGCAGCCAGGAGCCCCCCAGGCACGGGCACCCACGGCAGACACCTGGGGCAGCAGCAGCAGTGGGATTGTCCAACAGCCCCTCAGCCTGAGTTCCTAACCAAGCTCCTCTGTGAGTGCCTTTAAGGAGCCTTCATCAGTGAAATCAGACCAACAAAGAGTGACAACGAGGGTCAAGTGTAAACCCTGACCTCTGTGTGTCTCTCATATCCACCAACACGCCTTGGGCAACGAGAAATAGCAAACAAACTTCTCCAGGAGGTAGAACTGCTTTATTTGCCATTGTTAATCTTGGTTGTATTTGCAATAAGGCAAGTGCTGGTCAATGCTCGTGATATCCAGTGTTCAGGAGAGAGCGGAGACTTTGTCCTTCCCATATAATCCAGGAAAACAGAAGTTCAGGGGAATGCAAAGGGTGCTTTTGATGTCCCAAGCCCTCAAATGGCACCATGTTAAAATCTGAAAAGCATTTTTGTCTTCTGGGAAGGAATGGTGTGAGAGGAACAGGGCTTTCTGTACAAGGGAGTCGCTGAAGTCCTCTGGGACTTTCCCTTCTAGTCCTGCTAATTGTCTGTACTGGATTTACGATCATTCCAGTCGCAAGTTCATCTCCCGACAGAAAAGTTAAAGAAATAGATTTGGTACAACAGATGGGCATCCAGGGATGTATGGGAAGGCAATAAGGCCTGTTAGCAGATAGGGGATAAATGGGGCTATGTTGCTTTTCTCCACCATGAGACTTATTGGTGGGATCATGCAGTGGCTGGACCTCTGTGAAGCACAAGGCTGTTCTTCCAGTGTGCTCCTGCAAGGGTATTCCTAGAGGTTCTTCCTGTCCCATATTCAGGACCACGTGCAACCCTGGATCTACACTTTGGCTAAGCAAACACTCACACATACAGAAAAATGAGCTCCCACCTGCATTGGGCCCCGTGGAATTTTCCAGGAAACCTGGGCAGAGTTTTGTGTTTCTAATAAAACCAAAACAGTTTTTAAATCCAGCTTCAAGCTTCATTGCAAATATTTCTCACAGCCCTCTGTAGCAGGAATAATTGCTGTCCTTATTTATCGGGTAGATTATACAAATCCCCTAGTAAGTAAATTGTAGGATTAAGGTTAATGTGCTAGATTAAACTGACAGATTTATTTACTTCCTCCAAGAAGGAAAGACGAAAGGATGGTGACCTATCATGTGTATTAATTCAACATTTAGCCCTGCCTCAGCTCCAGTGATTATCTCTGCAAATGCCAAGGCTCAGTCTAGATTCCAGTGCACTACAGCATACACAGAAGTTCTGTTGTCTCCAGTATTTTATCTGTTCAGCTCCTGATTTTTCAGATGGTAATGTGCTCTACTTTTGCAGTGCCTTCCCTCTGCAGTTTCAGAGGGCTCACAAGGAACTACTTCTGCATTCACCCCACAGAAAGTGTTACTGATCCTCATGCTACAAGTGTATTCACTCTGAGAGATTAATGTCAATTTTATTCTATGACTTGTCTGGATGAAGTGGACAATTTGTGCATAATTCAGAGTCACAGGGTTCTTTAGGAGTCCCTTAGAGTGATTCTTGTTGTAAAAGCCACAATCCGGGCTATGAAAATGTCCCAGACTGTACACACTTCAGAGCAAGGTGGCCACCTGGGTTTCCTGCTATCTCCTGATACTGACAGTCTTGTTGAGATCGAGGTGCCTGAGGGCTGATGCTGCAGCTGAGGGCAGGAATGAAAAGACAAGCAGGAACCTTCCCCTGAGGGCTGTACCGTCAGTGCACGGGCCTGAAGAGGGGCTGGGGCATCTCCTGCTTTCCTGCATCTCCTTCCCCAGCAGTGAGCAGGCTGCACCCAACAGCACTGCCCGAGCACGTGCATCGTTCTGAGGAGCACAGACAGCCCAGGGCTGCCCAAGCAGATCATTTCCTGCAATGCAATGTAGTATATTTTATGGGACTACTGAGATGGAGACTTCTGGCAACATGTTGTGTGTTCATCCCTGCACCACTTCACTATCCAGTGAAGTGGGGACAGAGAAACAGATACCAGGTGGAGCAACAGCTTTCCTACAATCACAAACAAGGAAAGTGGCAGAAGAAGGACTGTGGTCTCTAGAAAACTGACCTCCAGTGCCCAAACTCCCAGTTTTAGCGTTGTGAGCTCCCCAACAGTGGGATGTGGTCATGCACCAGAAGAGGCAACACTGTCTGGCACAGACCTGCCTTTCCTCATCCCAGCACTAGTGCCATCCTTCCCCAGTCTGGTAACCCTCCCAGAGGAACTTGGAAAAGCTGTATAGGTGCAAATGCCACCTATGTTTGCACAGCAGGTTGGGAGCAGGGCTGGGATTTACCTCAAACCCAGTGACATGACCGTCTGCCTGTTCTCCCCCCTTCAAATAAAACGTTGTCCCCACGTGCTGGCCTCAACAGGTTTCTATATTTATCTATCCTTATTTTAGGAGGCCTGCAGAAGAAAGGTATAGATTACAGATGTGGTGCTCCTCGACTTAGCTAAGGTTTCCAATAGGGATAGTTGTTCTGGGACAGAGTCCCAGCCCAGAGTCATTTGCTGCTCGCCTGCCAAAGGGGACTGCAAGCATTGCCAGGGCTCTGCTGGACTGAGCCCCAACAGTTCACAGCATCTGAGGGAGGGGAGGAAAATTCCATGCTGAAATAGCTGGTTTGAAGTGCTGTACCCCACAGCGACAGCAGACTGTTTGCTAATACTAATGCAGTTTTCAGAGAGAGACTTTAAGTTCAATTTTCAGAATGTGTTTCTGCTTGGGAGAGGGCCAGGATTAAACCCCTCCATCAGTTCAAAACTTCAGTGAGTTTTCAACAGAAAATCAATTCTGGTTTCACAGAGTGTAGTTTTGCAAGACATGACTAGTTAGGAGGAGGAGGAGATTCTAGAGACACATCCAGCTCCTCTTCTCTGTTATGTATAGAGAGAGCGTACAGGCCTGTCCCTCAGTCAGCAGTGGGATTTTGCTTGTGTCAGAAACAGAAGGACAAAAGGAATATAGGAAGTGATCCTGCAAAATGAAAAATTTCTTCAGAAATTTACTTGTAAGCACAGTTTGCTTTTTATAATGTGTGGTGTATGTTCAAAACTCCCCTCCACTTACATGTGATTTTTGCAGATAATATGACATATAGAGGTTCTCCAAAAAAAAAAAAAAACAAAAGCAAAGAACCAGAATGATAGTATCTATCAGAAAACGTGATAAAGACCATTTTCAAGGGCCAGTATAAACTTCTTTCCATCAAGATACTAAAAAAGGAAATAATTCTACCCAGAGATCTGGATCCTACAGAATTATCTTAGTTTGCAGGGGTCAAATAGTCACAGCATTTTGATGTGTTTACATCTGATAACTCCCAGTAGAGATAAACATATTTCGTGCTTGAAATGTAAGTTAACACTGGACACACTAAACATATGACAAGAGATTTATTAGAAAGAACATTAAATACTATTATTAGCCCCAGCTGCAAATATCCATCAGGAAGGAATGGCTGTGTGTGAGCCAATTGTCTTCAGAATGGTGGGCCTTTCTAGAAACCCTCTGCAGTGGATGTCTTTCCACTGATTTCAACAGTCTTTGGGTCAGGCTCTCTTTTAGTAGAAAGATATTTAATTTCATCCTGATAGGAAGGACTGAAAAGCCAGACACCAACATTTCCTTTGCCTCATCTTTCATATTTAGCCTGTGCTGTTGGTGGTTAAAACTTGTTATTACTTGTTTATTTTTCACATTTAGGCTACTTCATAATAACTACATAGCCCCTCCAGGGGAGCATTGCTGCCTTTCATCAGTACCCTCTCAGAATGGGAAGAGTGACAACTATTTTCAGATGACACCAGGCTGACTGGGATACTCTGAGCAGTCCAGAAGCTCCCACCAAGTTAATAAATAAAGCTTCATGCCAGGTAGGGGGAAGAATTTGGCCCTGCTGTTCTTGATGAACAGGCTGAGTAATTCACAGTTTCAGCCTCTCATTCATAACTGTTACAGAGGGTGAATCTGGAAGGGAGGATGGAAAGGCTTGTCTTCCATTGCCTGCAAGTAACACAAATGGACACGTCTAATTGGCACATTATCGCTCCACAGTGCTTTCTAGGCCTGGTGTCACAGCTTAGGGCAGGTTTGGGCTCATGCTTCATGTTCTTGTACAATGTCAAGCTCCATTAGATCAGTAATCTCGTGTAATACGGTGTCAGACAATGTCACTGAATGAATAGAGAATAGAAGTATTTTTAGTTGTTCCTTTTCCCCAGGAACTCCACCTGGCTCTTGGCTTTCTAACAAATAATCTGTGTTGAGACATCGTAAGGTGACAAAGAGAGTAAGAACAACAATTACGCAAAATGTTCAGAAACTTCAACGACTTGAAAAAATACATACTTAGGGATTTGCAGCCCACCCAGGAAATTGTGTGTGTTGAGCACCACACCACTCAAAGCATGTATATTAACTGCTGGGTGAAGTGCATAGGTGTGAGCCAAACTGTTGAAAGAGCAGCTGCAGTGCTGTTACCACAAAGACATCCAGCCACAAATCCTGTTGTTGAAATGGGTTATTCAGAAACTGCTCCTATGATAATCTCTGTCTGTGAAGTTAGCTGGGCTTCGGGGAAAATAAGAACATCTGATGTTCTGTTTTACCTTCTCAGCATTAACTCACTGACATTAAATGAGAATTTATTATACTTGTGGTTTTAACATTTTAAATCTGCACATATTTCCTCTCCATTTCTGGGCATTCTGCAGGGCTGATGCTGCAGAACAGCTGTCCCCTCAGTGACACTGTCCTGACCCGAGCACAGTCAGGGGAGCCTCAGTGAGTCCCAGAGGGTCACACCCTGCTCCACAGACAACGATTCAGGTTGGAAGGGCCCTCAGTCCACCCTCCTGCTCAGTGCAGGGACAATTGTGTGGTCAGAGCAGGTTGCTCAGCTGGGTGTTCCAGGCCTCTGAGCATGGAGGCTGCTCAGCCTCTCAGTCCAGCCTCTTCCACTGCCCTTTGCTACAAAAACTGGGTTTGAAACCCAGCACTGTTCCAACTTAGGTCCTATGCCTCTCATCCCCCTCCCGCACAGCACTGTGAACAGCCTCCCTCTTTTCAAAGAGAAAGGCAATTCAGCACACTTGCTGCCAAGAACTTCATATCTTCTCACAAAGCTGCACTTCAACCATCACAGAGTTTAAAATAAACAATGATTTGTGAGTAAAACGCACCTCAGAGGTCCCGAAAGGCCACCAGCAGTGAAGCCATGGCTAATGCCTGTAGGTGAGACCACGGCTCTGAATGCAAACACCCTGTTTAACCAGGAATTTACTAATGTAAATGTGGGCTGTTCCAGGCCAACTGGCCCCTGAGCCCAGGATGCTCCCAAACTTTTCATCAGCTGTTATATATTGAGCCACTGCAAGTTTTTTCCCAGTTCAGCTGGTTCGTTCACATGTGACTCTGTCCTGATCAATGTGTGTCTTCTCCACCTGTGAAGATTTAAAAACTAAGAACCGGTTGCATAATATATCTTTTTTTTTTTAAGGCTAATGCTAATCCTACCAAACCACTTCTCCTGTGTGCATTTATGAAGGTGAAAGCTACTCCACAGATAATTTTCAAAGGAAGGTTGTACAACAGCTGGTGTTTTGTCACAAGCAAGGGTAAGCACCATCATGTAGCATTTATTTCCTTATCTGAACAGTATGGTTAAGCTGATGACACCCAGGTCCATTCAGAGAGTTAAATTCCTCCCTCGTGTATGAACACGATGTTCCCACAGTGGTAGAAAGTGTGAAACAATGTGATGGAAGAAGTGGCTGCTGGGATAGAGAGAAGTGACTCTCCAGTCAGACTGGGGGGGGGGGTTCAGAGGCACAAGAGACACCTGTGTCCCACTGAGGATCCATGACCATTAGCCAGCCATCCCCCTGCAGCGCCCTGCAGGCTCTGGGAAGGGGATTCTGCATCTCTGCAAAGATAAAGCTCTACAGGGAGGTGTCTGATGCAGGGCTCTGCAGGTTGAGCCCATGCTCACACACTGGCTGGCTCCTGCAGCTGGCCGGGTCACAGTCATACACCCACATCCCAAATATCTGCAGCAGGGGAGGGCTCCTCCCCGGGAGGTGGCAGAGCAGGGAACAGCCTGGAGCTGAAACCTACCTGAAGGAATAGTTGCAACTTAATGTCCAAGTGGTGAGAGACAGCCCGAATGAGATCAGAGTTCTTGTATTGCGTTAGTTTTGTTGATAGCTAAACAATTCCACAGATGTGCTGAACCATGAAACACATAAACATGCAAGAGGAAAGACATATTTTGTCAGGAAACTTTATGTAAATGTAGCACAAATATGAAAACATCAGTAAGGGGATAAGGCTTAATTGAAAACATGGTCAGGTTTTTGTGGACAAAACAGCCGGTTTACTGCAACACCAGACGTTTGTATTAAATGAGTAGTTTTTAATTACCCCAATGGATCTTCTTGTTTGACGGGACTGGTGAAATCTTTTCTGTGTCACAACAAGAGGAAGAAGAGGGAATTCCTGGCCTTCAGTCCCAACTCGGTGTGCCCCCAGGAGCTGTGCAGCGAAGCCATGGGGTGCAGGGACCCTCCCACAGCCCTGCCCAGCACAGGACCGTGGTGGGCAGCCCAGCTGCACCCACGGAGACACCGCGTCCTGCAGGGACAGGCCAGCGTGTTCTGCTCGGCTCCCCTCTCACTGCTCACCCTCTGCTGCCACAGCAGGCAGGGTCACCACCAACACCCAGCCCAGTGCCCAGTGCCCAGCCCAGGGCAGATGTGCCACGGCCTGCAGGCTGGCCCGGGCTGCCATCAGCCAGCACCATCTCCTGAGCACTGCCCCGGGCTGCCATCAGCCAGCACCATCTCCTGAGCACTGGCCAGGGCTGCCATGAGCCAGCACCATCTCCTGAGCACTGGCCAGGGCTGCCATCAGCCAGCACCATCTCCTGAGCACTGGCCAGGGCTGCCATCAGCCAGCACACACCTCCTGAGCTGGCCTGGGCTGCCATGAGCCAGCACAATCTCCTGAGCACTGCCCCGGGCTGCCATCAGCCAGCACAATCTCCTGAGCACTGCCCTGGGCTGCCATCAGCCAGCACAATCTCCTGAGCACTGCCCTGGGCTGCCATCAGCCAGCACAATCTCCTGAGCTGGCCCGGGGTTCCATGAGCCAGCACAATCTCCTGAGCTGCCCCGGGCTGCCATGAGCCAGCACCATCTCCTGAGCACTGCCCCGGGCTGCCATGAACCAGTACCATCTCCTGAGCACTGGCCAGGGCTGCCATCAGCCAGCACCATCTCCTGAGCACTGGCCAGGGCTGCCATCAGCCAGCACACACCTCCTGAGCTGCCCCAGGCTGCCATCAGCCAGCACAATCTCCTGAGCTGGCCCGGGCTGCCATCAGCCAGCACACACCTCCTGAGCTGCCCCAGGCTGCCATCAGCCAGCACAATCTCCTGAGCTGGCCCGGGCTGCCATGAGCCAGCACCATCTCCTGAGCTGCCCCGGGCTGCCATGAGCCAGCACCATCTCCTGAGCTGGCCAGGGCTGCCATGAGCCAGCACCATCTCCTGAGCTGGCCAGGGCTGCCATCAGCCAGTACCATCTCCTGAGCACTGGCCAGGGCTGCCATCAGCCAGCACCATCTCCTGAGCACTGGCCAGGGCTGCCATCAGCCAGCACAATCTCCTGAGCACTGGCCAGGGCTGCCATGAGCCAGCACCATCTCCTGAGCACTGCCCCGGGCTGCCATGAGCCAGCACAATCTCCTGAGCTGCCCCGGGCTGCCATGAGCCAGCACCATCTCCTGAGCACTGGCCAGGGCTGCCATCAGCCAGCACCATCTCCTGAGCACTGGCCAGGGCTGCCATCAGCCAGCACCATCTCCTGAGCACAGAGCTCTTCTGCCAGTGTCCAAGGGCTCCTCCCGACCTCTCTGCAGCAGCTCGAGGAGACATGAGAGGGCTCCAGCAGCTCAGGAACAACGAGGGAACAGCAACTGACTACAAAGACATTTTCCATCTTTGGGGGGTTTCTTTGTGGTTTTGGGTTGTTTTGGGGGGTTTTTTTTGCAAAAGATCAGTCAGGTTTGCCTTATGGCGCCTGCTTCCATGGCAGAAAGCTCAGACTGGGAAAGCTCAGTCTGTCTTCCAGGTTTTTAATCAGTCTCCTTGTGATCCCAGATGTGTCAGGACAGATGTTTTTGTAACCTTCATGAAGGACAGAATCGCATGTGTTGAGGGAGGGCTGAGACTTCTCTTCAGCTCAGTTTTTGGGGATGAACAAGACACTGGTTCTGTACTAAGATAAATGGTTTTGTTCAAAGATAGCAGTGGTTTCATCTTTTCTCAGGAAACGAAGAACTCCCTGGGGTCTATGACCCTCAGGTTGCAGCTCTGCCTCAGAGGGAGACTGCAGGATGAAGCACAGGAGGAAAGCTGATTGACTGGACACGAGACAGAAAAAGACTCTCTCTGCGTTAGTGATGGTGCAGCTTTTGGGTTGGTGATGCAAAAGCCCAGCAGAGGAGCAGGACACCAAACACCTCATTAAAGCGGCCAAAATGAAGTGTCAGCTTTGTCACTGTAGATGTTCCCACAGCCTTAATGTAACAGCTAGTTGTAGACAGAATATCCAGTCATAACTACTCCAGAAAGGTGTCATCTACCCTGAATTTTATTTGTATTTATATCTGCTGTATGTATTTTTTGCTGGAGTTTCAAAAGATTTACACTTCTGTCTGCACAAAGCACACTGACTTCCCTTTGAATTGGCAAAGCACAAGAGAAAAAAAAAGGTCAGGAAAGAATGTCTCATTCTCTTCTTCAAGTTTTGTCAGGATACCATTTAAATTAACCTTTGTGAGCTTTTACATTTGTATATGTGTATATCCATTTGTTTATTTGCAAAAATATGAGACAGAAGTGTCTTTGTCCTTCCGTCAACTACAAAGGGAGTTTAGATGGTGAGATCATCTGTCAACATCTATGCCATAAATGTTTAAATATGGACAGAGGAGAGTGTCATTGATTATCTGGTTCCTTTATTCTGCAGATTGCAGGCTGGATGAATGGTGGTTTCCCAGGAGCAGCAGGAACCCAGCAATGAGCTGTCAGTCCCACCCAGAGCTGGAAAACTCTCCTCATGCTTAGCAGCAAGTAGCAGGGAAGACAGGGATTGGTTTGGTTGGATGTGGAATCCTTCCCTTCCTATCCCAAACTGCAAATTCTTTGTGTGCTTTGAGTTCCCCGAATTTTTAACTCTGTTATATAAATGGCAGCTAACTGGGGGGGAAAAAAAAAGGAGGTCCAAAAGAGAGCCCTAAAGCTCCCAGAGATCAGTGTGAGGGTATCAGTGACTGCAGAGGGCTCTGGAGCAGGCCCCATGCCTTTAATTCTGGGAGGACATAAATGTGAAATGTTTTACAAAAAAAAATAGCTTCCTATGCCAATGTAAGAGAACTTCCAATGTGCCTGCTCAGGAAGTTCAGCTCTTTATGGGACCAAATGAACAACTTCTATCCCTGAGTGAGATCAAATTGAACAGAAACTCCTCACGGAAGACCTTCCAACTACTTATTAAAACCATACAGGACTGATATAATATTTTTCAGCTCCAATTCATTGTTTCCCCAGACTTCCACACTCTTTTGTAGTGCCAGTGCATTTTCCAGGACTGGGCTTTTCCTTGCTCTTTTCTTATAGTGGCATGTTTTGGAGGTCTGTTTCCCTCCTGCTGCAGCACTGCATGGCTACCCTGGGAATATCAGATCTCCTAAATTCCATTTTAAACTCCACTGGAGAATGACACCAGCCTTTGTGGAGTTATAGTCCTTGGAAACATCAAGAGTGATGTCCTGGACTAATCTACAGAGGAGGCTGAAGCTGGATGGCAGGTTCATATCTCACTCCTATGAAGTCAGTATGCACTGGCTACAGGGGATTTCTCAGGCTTAGACTTGTGAGGTCTTGGAGTCTTATGGTGGCATCATCAACCTAGAGACCATGTTGTGTAAATCAGAGCATTCAGACTGCATCTATGAAGGCATCAACTTAAACCTTATTGTTCATTCTCCACTTGCCCATCTGAAACAAAGTGTCTGAGAACAAAGAACTTGGAAATTCAATCTGTAGAGACATTTTAGGTACAGAACCCCTAACTACAAAACAATCCAGTTTTCCCTTTATAAAATAAACTTTCACATGCCCTCCACCTTCTTGAACTCCATCCATATAACAGTTTTTACCACATCAGAAAACACTTTTTAAACACTGATAAAAAAAAGCAGTTTTGTCTAATACAGTTGCTCTGGTCACCACAAAAAGAGCAATTTTTCTGTTAGTACTCCTACATTCCCTCCTCCACCCCCAAAACCCGCAGTGGGATCACTGTGTGTTTAAATGTGGTGTAGCCTGTAAAGCACAGACGCAGAACAAGCAAGGGCGAAGAAAAGAGGGAGCGAGGAACTGTTTGAGGAGAGGGAAATCATCACATTCTTGGCTGTGCAGCTTAGAGATGCAGCACCAGGTTCTGCTGCAGGAACCCGAGGCTCCCAGGAGACCTGCAGGGACTGATGATGATTCCTGGCAGTTGCTGTGTTCCCGAGAAGGACACAGCACAGGAACTGTGCGTTGCCCCAAAGAAGTGCCAGTGGACCACCCCAGCCCCCAAAGTACTGCAGAGCATCTTCATCTGCTGCTGCCTTTGTCAACACCCCCAGCCCGGCGCAATGGGGGATACAGTTCCACCTGCTCAGAACAAACAGCCTTTTGCTCTGCATGAGGTCACACACTCACTGGCAGAGGCTTGCAATAAATCTTGGGTAATTAGCTGAATGATAATTGCTACACATAAGGGATTCTTAAAAATAAAATCCACATTTACAAAAGTAGATGTTATAGGGAGGTGCTTAAAGTTAAGCATCCTTTAAGAAGGAAATAATCATGGCTTCAGTTTTCCTGCCCATCAAATGGGGATTCTATTACATGGCCGTTTTCTAAAGTACTACAGGATGTTAAGATGGGAGAATCTACATTAGGGTGTGATAGTGCTATTTTCAGTCTCTATGCACACAATATTGAGTGCGATTCTTCCAAAACTGTGCCCCATCTACACTGCTGCATAGTCAGATCTGATTTTAAAAGAGTGAGTGATCAAGCACACGTTACAGCTGCACCACTGGGTCAGTAAGTGAGAAGTTAAAATAAGAAGTTCATTCAATAAAATATTGATTCTGGAAACAGATTACA